AAATAAAAAAAAAAAAACTGAGCAGAAATAATCTACTAGCAGCTTCTTAACTGGAACTAGTCTCACCAAAGTCACCAATGAAATTTCCGTGGCTAATCCAATGGACATTTTTGCAGCCGTTACTAAGTTATTTGACTTTTCCTCAGCATCCTTGCATTCCTAGACACTACTACACTTTCATGATTCTTCTTTTCTTCGGTCACCAGTGCAGACCGGTCCATCTTCTGCCTGCACATGCCAACAGTTCTGCCCACATCTCCTCTCACACACTGCACCTTATCCCTCCCTGAGTAGCTCCCTTGATCTAGCACCACCAATAGGCAGAGGATTCAGAAATGTCTAGAACCCTGCCTGCTTCTCAAAGCTCCTATCACCTATCAAAGTGATAGGTGACTTTGTTTCTCAAAGTCTCCCATCATAAGATACTACTAAATAGGTCTTCTTAGGTGTTTCATAGGCCCTTTAAACAATGTTCAAAACTTGTCATCTTCCCCCTAACCATACAGGGTACCTTCGTCAGGACAAACATTCATTCAAGACTGAAATCTGGCACTCATCTTAGCCTCTTCCCTCTTCTTCACTTTACACTTACTGTGTCCTTGCTAATATCCTTGCTAATATTGTTGTTGTTGTTGTTATGTGCTGTCAAGTCAGACTCAACTCATAGCGACCCCTCCTTGGGTTGCCAAGGCAGTGTCACTATGGAAGTAGATTGCCCAACCTTCCTTCCGAGGAGTGGCTGGTGGGTTTGAACCATCAGCCGTCTGGTTAGCAGTCAAGTGCCTTAGGCACTATGCTACCAGAGCACCTTTGCTAATATTACCTACTAGGATTCTAGATTATATCCTCTTTGGATACCTCACAGATAATTGTTCAAGCCTATCTCTGATTTATCATCTAAACTATTGCAAATCTTACTGTGTCCTGTTTTGCCCCTCAAATTTTGACATCCCATGCATATTCTTTCCTCTGTCTTTCTTCATGTGATTCCTATCTACCTAAACACCCCTCCTGTGCTGGTTAAGTTTGTGTGTCAACTTGGCTGGGCCTGGTTGAGTGACTGGGTAGCTGGTAGTAGTTATTCGCCATCATGACACTGGCAATCATCTCCATGGTGGGATCTACCACAAGCACCTGAGTAGCTGCTTTAGGGATGTGGTCTGCTTTCTGTATATAAGAACCAGCTTTGGGAATGGTCTTTAGCTTATGGCACACTTGAACCCTGCATGTAGCTGAATTGTTGTTCAGCAGCCTGCCATCCTCTGCCAATACTGGGACTTCCAATGGAATTGAAGGAGCTCTGGTAGCATAGTGCCTAAAGCACTTGACTGCTAACCAGAAGGCTGGCGGTTCAA